AGGGTAGTGGTAGCATCTGGTAGGAACACCCTGGGCCCTGGGCCAGGCTGTGTGGGTTCAACTCTGAACTCATCACTCCATATACCACAGACATCTTAGTTAACGTAATTACATATAGAAGAATATCTCTAGGCCCAAGTTTCTCTATCTATAAAATAGAGATAATAATAGTTAACTGCCTCTGAGATTTTTCTACCCCTTGACACTTGCTATAGGCTTTACAAAAAATCAGTCATTAAAGACACAAACCATCAAAGATGTGGTTGAGAGTAGTTATTATGAGGACTGAATGAAATAAAGTGTTCAGAACAGGGTCTGACACATAATAAGTACTTAATAAATGCTAGTCATTTTTATTAAAATGCATATAATAACATTAGTCAAATCTGACAGTACATCTTCATAAAGATTTGTTTTTAAATTTAAAATAATTTCATAAAACATAACGAAAATACATGTTTATAAAAGCACTGGTTAAAAGGAAATTTTGATTAGGTATTCCTCTATCTGTAGGGTTTCTAAGGAGGTTCTCATTAAATTATGGCTACGAGGTATATGAAACACGCTTTTTAAGCACAAATATAACAAAGTGAAAAACATTTGATAAAGAATGTTGGGCCATAGCTGTCAACAAAATTTCACATTAACAAAAATGCTTCTATGTGCCAGGTGCTCTGATAGATGTGAGTGATAAAGCATCAAATCGAATCTGGTCTTTATTCTAAGGAAGTTTAGAGTCTAGTAGGAACAAAGCATTTGACTGATTAAAATTTATGTGACTTAACTGATCTATGTACACATATCAAGTATTTTGGTAGTGAGTTCCCAAATAAAAGAGAAAAGATGTTTCTTAAGACTAAGCAAATTCTTCTCTCTCAAGAAAGAATATGAAATATAATGTGTTGCCCCATAAGCAAGTGCATTAGTCTCCTGTCAATCTGATGTTCATTATCTATTTACTGTTTTAGAGCACTGAGGCACTGATAACTATCAGGAAAAAAATAATATGGGCTTACACTGTGGGTACTGAGATTCAGTGACTTCATTAAATTACTTAAAGTTTGTGAGCCTTTATTTCCTCCTGTATAATAAAGGGAGATAACAAACTACTTTGCTGGGTCATTGCAAAGGTTAAGTGAGAATAAAATTATTGTTATGTAAACTTAATATAGGAAAGATGAAAAAAAAAATAAATCAGGGAGTAACTAGTTATTTAAGAATTTATTATGGAATCTGAATTTCTTTTATATTTTAAAACATATTTTATAAGCAAGCCACTCTTGGGAAGCACAGTGCTCTATCTATATCGAGTTCACTAAGAGCGAAAACACCAGCCAGCTATCTAGACCAAGGTCACGGCTGATCAATCCAGGGACTAAACTGACTGTTATGCTTGACTTGCTTGATTCACTGGACACTGGTGTCTTAAGACCAGAATGGCCACAGTGGGGTAAACAAGAGAGAGAAGGGGCAGATTAGTTAAAAATTCTGAATTTCAACAACTGAGTGGTCCGGTGTGGGAGCGACAAGCTCAGCTCTAGGTCTTTCTATCCCATGTTGTAAATACACAACCAACCACTCTAAATGGCTCCTTCTGTCTATACACTTAAGTTTTATAATTAATAAGCCATATAGTTCAAAATGTACAACTTCAAGTAGAATCCTAGAAGTCTGAATGGCTTTGATCACTGTCAATTAATTGAAACAAATGATAACATTGGTAATAACTTTTTGTTTATATTCTTTTTCCTAGTAAAAAGTCAGCAGGGAGTCATGGAAAGAAGATGGTTCAACATGGTTTAAAAGTGGGTTCTCATTCTGACTCCATGTGTTCAGAAGAAGCCATCTGACTCCTTTTGGCCAATGTCTTCTCAGATGTCAAGTGAGGAAGACAGATGACTAAAGGATCCTTCTTGATCTAATGACATTGGATACCTGAATCACCTGCACATCTACTTTTGGTGAAATTCAAGCCCCTGATTTCACCCCAGCCATGCTGCATGGCCCTCAGAATGTACACCTATGCTTTCGAGATCCATTTCCAGATGGAACATGACTTACCACCAACGTACTGGAAAAGAGCTGCAAGATGCCATAAGAGGAGCCTGCAAAAAAAGGAACAACATCCATAAAAGGAGCTAGACACATCTCAAGATTGGATTAGTCTGGTGACAATTACATAGACGTTAATGGAAAAATGGCGGGGGGGGGATCATTTTAAAAAAAAGAAAATACCACACTTTTTTTCAGTTGGAAGAGTATAAGTAATATAATTTTTAATAAAAGGCTTTTGAAATAAAATTAAAGGCAAGTAGGAGAGACTAAAGGCAAGGGTTGCTCTTAGGGACCATGAGAGAAAGTCCTTTCACTATGTGAGAGGTGTGTGACTCCGACAGAGAAGACTGCATGGAGTATTTCAGTAAAAATCTGAAACCTAGAAAAATTCTACTAAGTCTTAAAATTTAAACATTATCTCTTATGTCTCTAGCATTTCAGTTTTCTTAAAATGCTTTAGTTTTACAAAGAACTTACAAAGTTTTATGGAGTCTTTTTACCTCCATTATATCACGTAACATGTCTCTTCTGCTCTTCACAAAAACCTTTATGCTGCTGGGTGGTCCAGTATAAGTCCAAGTATACTCTTCAAGGAAAATACAAATCATGGCATGGACTAGGACTTAACTGAATATTACGTACAAAACTGTTCCAAAACATCTGCTTATCCAGCTTGCGAATGATCAAGGGCTGTTAGTCTTAACAATCTTTCATTAATTAGCAGAGTCCCAAGCCCTGCTATTCCCTGTCTCTTTGGTAAATTAATGACTTCCAGATGGTGAGTTTATGCTGCACAGGTAGGGACATCCTACAGCCCTCTAAGATGTGGTGCTGGTGGTGTGGGAAGTTTGTGACTGATTTGCAAAGGCTCACCCCAATCCCTTGCCTGCACAGTGTCATTTCTATAGATTATGTTTCTCTGGCCTCTGACAATAGGTCACAGATTCCTATAGGCAGGAGTCTGAACCTTTAACCACACAGCCAGTTCCTTGGAGAGGTCAAGTGGTACCTGTAACATCATTGGTGGTACGGGCCATGTAAATAATGCTAAATCTCAAAACCTCTCTCAACACAGGTAGTCTAGGAAAAGATGCTCCAGGGTAATATTTTGAAATAGTTTGAAAATTCATTTTATCCCATTTTTAATTTACCTTTGGATAATATTTAGCTATAAGACTGATTTAAAGTACTTAGTTCAGGGGATTTAAAATCTAGTGCTCTGAAAATGTGCACCATTAACCACTTACCTACTATTCCAGCAACTGTTGGGCTTGCTCCAAGAGACTTGATGTGAAGGCTCAATAATGGGACAACCATGCTGACACCAAACAAATCCTAAACAAAACAATGATTAACTAAAATTAGAAATGGAAGGCTTGGTATTTTTTAAAGTGGTGATCCTAAAATAATTTTACAAATAAAACCACTACCTAAACCTTTGCGCACACAAGAGATCATAACTGTATTCTGTACTATGTTATACTTCTCAGGTTAAAGTTACCAAGGATCCAAATACATTATAACAACTGCTACCTGTAAATGTCTGGCCTACCCTGACCGAGTTCCATTTTAACTTTGGCTTCTTTGTAATTGATCCCTAATATTCAAGGAGGATGTGCTACGGAAGTTCTTTAAATATTTTTTTTGTGGGTAATGAGTGGGAAAGGAGGTAGTGATGATGTATATTTCTTGGCAAAGTAGCATATACTTAATAATATGGGTTTCTTCCCATAGTTAGGAAAGGTGGCTGATCCACAGCTTATAGCCTTACAAGGTAATACCTGAAAGGAAGGTCTCAGTAAAGCAGAAAGGAGCGAGAAGTCTGGTATATTAACGGAAGGCCACATTCTGTAGCTAAGTCACAGCTAAGTGCATGCATTTTGGGGTCAGCAAGACAGTTCTCAATTCCAACTCCACTCCTTACTGATAAGCATGTGGCCTTGGAAAGTTATGTAATGTTACCAAGCACTAGTGCTGTCATCTGTAAAAAACAGGGATACTGGCACCTGCCTTGGAGAAATACAATCTACATTAAGAGACATAATGGTTGAGAAAAGTCTGATACACGGCAGAAATACAAACATATATTCTCTTTTCTTCAGTTCTGGGAATAAGTACTGACCCTTCTGGCTAGGTATTGAGTTAATAGAAAGACTTAACTTTCCTTTTAAGCATTGCTCTCATTTCTATTTCACTTGGTTACTTGCTACAATTGGTTTAGGAGAAGCAAAACATATAACACATGCAAGAGTTTTCTTTATATTCAGTCTGAATTTATTTTTCTATAATACTGGTTAAACAGAAAGAAGTGCATGAAAAATATATTTTCTTTGGGCCCACAATCTTCTGCTCTCTGCTTTTCTTGGTGTCTGTACATTCACTGAATTATAGCAACATAAACATCCAAATACACTTTTCAGTGGTTTTTCCCATGGTTACAGCATTAGATGGCTATATCGTTTATATACAGTAATCTAAAATAGCTCACATATTTATACTGCCAGACCTATGGTACCGGAACTATTATTTTTAAGATTAAAGTTGTCTCCCCTTATCTATGGGGTATATGTCCTAAGACCCCCAAGTGGATGCCTGAGACCAAACCCTATATACACTATGTTTTTTTTCCTATTCACAGATACCCATGATACATAAGTTGAATTTATAAATTAGTCGCAGTAAGAGATGAACAATTATAAAATAGATCAATTTTAACAATATACTATAATAAAAGTTATATGAATGTAATCTCTTTCAAAATATCTTACTGTACTGTACTCACCTGTCTTGTGATGATGAGAGATGATACAATGCCTATGTGATGAGATGAAGTAGGGTGGATGATGTACATATTGTGACATAGTATTAGGCTGCTATAAGGATTAGTTGAACACTAGCAATCTTATAACCAAGACAGCTACTAAGAGACCAACATGAATACGCCAGACAAAGGGATGATTCACGTCTACGGTAGGAGAGTCACATCACGAGATTTTATCGCGCTACTCAGAATGGCATGCAATTTAAAACTTATGAATTATTTCTGGAATTTTCCACTTAATATTTTTGGATGGAAGTTGACCACAGATAACTGAAACTGCAGAAAGCAAAACCATGGATAAGGAGAAACTACCATACTTAAAATTTCCTTTGGGTCTGAGCCAATTTCTTTTGGACTTTACTGTCAGCTTTGTCCCATCAGCCTACTGATGTTTTATATCATTTAAACAACTCAAGACACATCGGTACCTACTGTATCTTCTGGATCTTTAAGGAAACTCAACTGTCCAACAAGATTTTTTTTCCAAAAAAAAAAAAAAAAGAAAAGAAATCTCCATACTGCTTGTCATTTAATATTCAAATGATTATTCTAAATAAAGAATGGGAGAATTTCACTTAGGCTGAGATTTATGGAAGATAAGTATAAAAACATAGACTCCTAAGCAGTAACAAATGATCAGTATTATTTTAATACTTTGTGAGCCTGAAAAATATCCTCTTCTTCCAAGGAGGTTGGCTGCTAGCTCTTTGCTGCAGCCAAGTTCTGTTCTAAAACTGTCTTCTACTTGACAAGGCAATTTCCAATTTGACACCTGGAAATCAAGTGAGAGGGGGCCACTTACCTCTTTCACAGGACATCTACGACTCTAAACAGAAACTGATGAATACATTAGTTTCAGGATCTTTTTCAGGTTAGGAGCCCAAGTATTTCTTGATTAGGGGATTATAGCAATAAAAATGAATTCTCACCTGACTAAAGCTAATGGAATGAAATACAAATATGGCCAGGTACATGGAAGAAAGAAGGAAATGAAATCATAGATCTTAATATACTGACTAAAAAGGGCCTAAAGGGTCTTCCCTCCTAAACCAATTAAAACCTAGAAGCACAGACAAGCGCTCAAAACAGAACATTTGAACAAACGACTTCTTTAATCTTGTTCCTTTCCTCTCCCAATTGGAAACCAATTTCCCAAAAGTCTTAAGGGTCTTCAAATCTTTAAATATATTAAAAATAATAACTAAGTTATGCTTAATATTCCTTAGATGTTACCTAACTGGAGCCACTGGATGCTTCAAGGATGCTCGAAGCTGCATATATTTTGTTTATAACATTTTCCATTTAAAAAAATCCCTGCTCTCTTTTAACTTTTGGGAAATCTTATATTTTCCCCTGAAGGTATTAGAGACCTAATGATTCTCTTGAATAAATTATTTAAATTATTAAAATTTTACATCAGGCTTGCTAGATTAGACTCACCATGTGCACAGCACATAGACAACACATGGGAAGCTCTGAATACCAAGTCTGTATCAGAGGGCCAACTGTAATGATCTGCAAATTTATTTAAAAAACAAACTATTTTGAAATCTGGTTTCCATGACTCTTTGAACTCGTCTGGACTTTCCAGGTGAAGGTCCAAATCCTCTTCATCTGTCAGAACCAGTGGGTTGTACCCTGTGGGGTAGGGGAGCAGTACCTTGGGATTCTCATCTCCTACCAGAGGGGTGATCGCAACCAGCTACCTTTCGAAATCTGAAGAACCAGCCACACTCAATGGTTTTGAATTCTGGGTGACTGCACTGGAAGGTAAAGGAGACCTTGCATCCTGAGACTAAGATTAAAGAAACAAAATCAGAAGGAATGTCAGGCTCTGAATTCAAAGGTTTTAAGCCTGGGGGCTGTCATGTGAACTGAAGTGGAGGCAGAGATTCTCTGGGGAAAGTTGCCTTCCCTGTCTCTGGTTCTGTGTTTACAGCAATATGGTGGTATGCTTTCATCGTTGTATCCTCTCCTAGCTAAGACTGACTCAGAGTCCCAACTGAAGGGAGGCACCAGACCAGAGAGAAGTAATGGTCTTAACCTACATTTGGGCAGAAAATGGTAATTCCTCTTTGCCTGGGCACAGTGCCATTGGGGACCATTTTCAAGGACTCAGGAGGCAGCATTCTCTCATTGACAATGACCAGCTCCTTTTGCTGTCAAGACAGTCTCAGGCCCAGCAAAGAAGAAATTCTACTAAGCCCTTGTCTCAATTCTGTCGCACTTTGGATGAGCTCACAACCAGGGCAACTGAAGCAGGCCTAGACTTGGAAAGAGAGGAGCGAACAGATGGATCTAGGGGTCCTGCAGATGTCCACAACCAACAAGCTCACTAGTAAGGTGGTTTTTCTGGACATCGACTGTATATGAGAGTGACTGTAGCTCCACGGCACCTACCACATAGCAGGTTTTCAGAAATGATAAAATGAATAATAAAAGAGTGGTTGGATGAATAACTTACCCTACCATACACTTGGCTTTCTAAGCTTTCCATTCAACGTGGGAAATTAATAACTATCCTTATTAAACCAGGACACGAATCATGACAAAACCCTGCATCGTGCAATATATAAACAGTTTGTCAAAAGGCAGATAGATGTGTACCATTCACTGATACTTGTATTTTTAATCATTCCAGTCTGCCATGAACCTTAGAGAAAATGTGCCTAATTCTGTCCAAGTGGGGGTCATCAACAGCGACTTCCCCAACCTGGCCTGCTAAAAGCCCGTGAGTCCCCAATGGAGCCGCTGCACAGCTGGGCTCTCCCAAGCCTGCCCAGGAGCCTCCGCTCTCCACCCTGCAAGCCTTGGCTGAGCCTTACAACCCCACCCCCCACTTCCTCCGCTG